CAGCAGCAACAGCAGCAGCAACAGCAGCAGCAGCAGCAACAGCAGCAGCAACAGCAGCAGCAGCAGCAGCAACAGCAGCAGCAGCAGCAATCGAAATAGCAATAGGAGAAACAACAGCCACAGCATCAACAAAAACAAACAGCAGCAGCAACAGCAGCAGCAGCAGCAATAACAGTAGCAGCAGCAACAGCAACAGTAACAACAGCAGCAACAGCAGCAGCAACAACAGCAGCAGCAACAGCAATAACAGCAGCAGCAACAACAGCAGCAGCAACAGCAGCAGCAGCAGCAACAGTAGCAGCAGCAACAAAAGCAGCAACAACAGCAGCAACAGCAGCAGCAACAGCAGCAGCAGCAACAACAGTAGCAGCACCAACAGCAACAGTAACAACAGCAGCAACTGTTGCTCAATTAATTGAAATGGAGAACTCTCATTGTTGACTTTCAAGACAAATTGTCGCCAGTTGCAGTTGCATTAAGTATTTGTGTGTGTTTTCCCATCTAATATGTATGTGTACAATGCCTTTGAGTGTGATTAACAACACAATAGGAGCAACAGCAACAACAACAGCAACAACGACAGCAGCAGCAGCAATAATGACCAGCGGCCAAAAGCAACGATGCATATTAAGTAGCAGCTTCATTAAACAGTAGTTAAGCAGCTAAGAGTACACACTCACACGCACACACACTCACACACACAGACACACATACACTCTCCTCTGCTCGGGTGTAACTTAATAAACGCCTGTGTGCCAAACTATTCTCTAAAATTATTAATTAATCCACAAGATACTTTGATAACGTACATTGCAGCCAAGCCGGAGACAGTGGCCCCACTGCACACACACACACCCACACGGACATACACACTCATACACACACACAGACGTGAGGCACACTTGGCCATACAAACAATTCAATTGAATTTGAGTTTAAGTACTCCTGCATACCTTTGTGCTGCATAAGTCGAGCAAGCAATTATCCTTAGATACCCTGTGCCTGCCTTGAGATGGGGAAGCCCGACTGCCAGCCCAGACCGCAGTCACTCTAAAGCTCTACCCGCAATGCAGGATATCAACTAGTTGGGCACCAAAGCACATCACTGAACAGTGCTTAGATTACAGCTAGTTAAGAGAACTAGAGCTAGAACAAAGTAAATCGGCTTTCAGCTAACAGCCTCCAGCTGGGCTCCTAAATTAGGGCAACTTTTGGCAACACCTTTGTGCTTTCAATTTGAAGCTCTCATTACTACTATTTGATAGACCACCGGATGGATAGACGGATAGACTATCGGATAGGTAGATGGATAAGCAGACGGATATATAGACGGATAGACAGACGAATGGATAGGCAGATAGACTACCGGATAGGCAGACGGAGAAGCAGCCGGATAGACCACCGGACAGACAGACGGATGGATAGACGGGTAGATAAACGGATAGACTGACGGATAAACAGACGGATAGACTACCGGATAGGTAGGCGGATAAGCAGACGGATATATAGACGGACAGACAAACGAATAGGCAGGCGGATGGATAGGCAGATAGACTACCGGATAGGCAGAAGGAGAAGCAGTAGACAAACGGATAGGTAGACGGGTAGACAAACGGATAGGCAGACGGATAGGCAGACAGACAGATAGACTAATGAATAATATAATGGATCATGGATAACGGATAAACGTAGAGGCAAACGAGCGTTCAGAGGAATAGACAGGCATACGGTCGGGAGACGGATAGACAAATGGATAGATGGACGGGTAGGCAGACGGATAGACAGATAGACAGACAGACAGACAGACAGACAGATAGACTGATGGATAATATAATAGATCATGGATAACGGATAAACGTAGAGGCAAACGAG